CACCTGTAAAGAAGCTTTATGAAAGCACTTGTCTTGTTAACAGCCAGTGGCCTCCCAGGAGATGCCTGCTCTGGGCAGGCACCCAACTCTGGACCATCCTCCTGGAGTTGGTTCTGTCTCCGTGTGCCGGTCTGCTGTGGGAGTCACAGCGTGGGCAAGAGGCGGATGGCCGGACTAGAACAGGAAAAGGGCAGATAAAATGGGAGAGCAAATTTAAAGTCTCGGGTAAGCACTGCTTGACAAATACCTACGAGCACCTACCGTGAGCCAAGCACCACCCTGCAGGTGGAGGGAAAGGGAAAGCGAAGATAACGAAAATGAAAGCCTTGCCCTCATCAAGTTTGCAGCAAGGCTGAGTGGGAGGCACATAGTATGTTCACAGATCATCCAAGGGCCTGTGCCTGATTCATTTTTGAATCCCCAGAACTTAGCCAAGTAAATGTTCGTTGAAGACAACGAATAAAAAAGGAAGCGTTGAAGGAACTAAAGAAGGTGAAAGTCATAATATTTTTACAGCGTTTCTGTAAAACCACCCATTGAGGGGCACATGTAACTTAAGAAACATGATGAAACTGCTCGTCTCGAAAGCGAAGTGGCGATTTAACCACTAGTCTTAAATAAGCTCTGTGCAACCGGCCAGTTCACAAAATTTCTGAGGCAGCCAGGGATAACGATGTGCAGTCTGAGGAAGAAGAACGTTCTAGGAAGACCAGAGCCTTTGACATGAGACAGAAACGCTGAGTTTGAATTCTGGCTCTGCGACTTCCTGGATGTGTAAGTTTGAACAATCCCCTTCACCCCACAGGGTTCAAGTCCTCATCTACACGGGGGAGTTAATAATGATACTTAAAAGATTACTGAGGGGACAAATGAAATAAGGGACACGAAACGTTTTGTAAATGGGGACCCTCATAGATCCAGGGAGGAAGATGTCACCACCTTCCACGTTGTTTATAGTCTGTCTTCCCCAAACACCATGTCAGCTCCATGGGAACAGGACAGTACAATTCACCAGAGTAGCCCCTGAGCCTACAACGGCGCCTGGCACAGGCAGGCGCTCCACACACACGTGTTGAACGAAAGAACCGAATCATCAGTCCTATGCCAGGGCTGGAGAGGGGCAGCTCCGGGTCCCGGGGGTGGGCAGCAACCGCCTCAGGGCTGTGGGCCCTTCAGAGCTTCCCGCCCTCTCGGACCCTCCTCCGCCCTTCAGCTGGCGCCCGCGGTCCTGGCGCCGAGGCCACGCCGCCTTACCCGTACCCCCTTGGGCTTCTCCGCCTAGTGAGGCTACACCCGCGTGAGGGAACCCCAGGCCGCAGGGCCGCGGAGGCCCAGCCCACTCGGCGTCCCTGGGACGCTGTTGCCCGAGCGACGACGACACTCGCTGATTGGAGAATGTGCGTCCCTACTGGGTAAGAAGCCGAGCTCCTATTGGCCAAGTCGNTTTGGATCACCGTACTGTGGTTATTCTGTAAGATGTCATTACTGGGAGGAAGCTGGGGACACACAGGAACCCTCCGTACAAAACTGCATTGTTTGGTGACTCTAAATAGTTTTTTGTTTAAAATAAAGCCAGGCAATACTTCTCCAGGGCATAAGGTCATCCCCATCACTAATCACCTGGCCCCAGGTAACACTTCCAGATATTACCTGGCTCCACTCAGGCTGCATTTTTACCAGTACGCCCAACAGACCACGCGCTGCCTCTCCTCTGCATCTCGGTTCACGCTTTGGCTAGAATTTCCTTCCTCCTCTTCCACACTTCAATTCCTCTTTCAAGGCTGAGGACATAGCCCCTCCCTCATGAGGCCTTCTTATCCTCCTCACACATAACAAATCACACCTTTCCAGAGAAGCTGGTTTACAGCTTCGTCTTGCCAGTTGTTTCATAAAGAAAAGGACAAAATGGTCAAAGGTACCATAATTCCGGTACTTTGCTGTGGGGCAGGGGAGGAACAAAAAGAATAAAGTCAAGGAATTGACACCACCCAGTCCATCCCCTTAGATCTACCTCTAGTTTCACTTTGACTCTCTGCTTCCAGACTCTCCTCTTGGCTGCTGATCGTGGCCCCTGCTAGTTAGTCAGGAAGCCCCCCCCCCCAGGGGAGAGGTCAGCAGCACTCATCTTTCTATGCTCAGCACCCGCCGCACAGCCTGGTGTGCAGTAAGCACCCCATTAACCTCTGCTCTGGATGGACCACAGCTATCAACACCTAATCCTGTGAGGACGAGAAGCCTGGGCTAAACTTACTCTTGTTTTGAGAGCTAAACAGTGTTCTGAATATGAGCAAGGCACCGTGCCAAGTTCTGAAGGCCGTTCCTAGTTTTACATCAGCCTGAGTGTAAGCTTTCTAAAGAGAATTATATGACGTTAACGAATATTATTACTTCAGAATTTGGTAAAGTAGAAATTAGCAAGGATTATCAAAACCGATGCCTCCCTAACATGCACCAGGTCACAGACCATCAAATACACTTCTCAACCATCAGCAGAAACACAATTAAAAGGCTATTTCACTGACATTTATTCTCCAGAGAAGTGTTGATGTCCAGTTTTTAACAGATGCTATTTATATCAGAATCATAACAAAAGTGCCATCCATCTGCCTTGGCATCCAGAGAAAACATAATTCAACACAAGAGTAAAAAATGTGCACAGCCAAACAGAAATGGCATCAGAAGCGAAAACTGTTGGAACTGGTATCATGGGGGGGAGGGGGGATTATCACTTGACTAAACTGGAAAAAGTTGCAAGCAACACAAAAGATTTTGGCAGTTAAATCCAAATACTTGAGAAAAATCTTCTCCTTGTCTATTCTGATATCAAAAGGATGTTTTGTTATATTTTGGGACACATACCCATCCAGTTCCCTTTTTAGCCTTCCATACGCTCACTCACTCATCTACTGGGCATCTACAGTGGGGGAGATGGGGAGTTTCGAGTAAAAAAGACATGGAGTCAGATTGGTTCCGCTATTAACTTGCAAGTCAATTAACCTCCTCCTGACCCAGTTTGCTCATTTGCAAAAGGCAAATAATCTTTCTCTTAAAAGCAAGTACTCTTAGCCTGGCATAGCGATGGGGTACATGTGTGCGCTTCTGTAGACCTTTAAACTCTGAGATTAAATGTAAAATGCGTGAGAGATAACTGGTCTAGAGAGAGGACACATTGCTTTCACTAGCTTCTCAAGGGCCAAGTGACACAAACAGTTAAGTGTCAGACCCTAAAGGCCGCGGAAGGATCCCAGATTGTGATTAGATAGCCGTGCATGCAGCAGGCTGTTCACTGTTTGGTAGCTGTTAATTTTCAGTCCTGGGAAGGTACAGAAAGATAACCCAGACAGAGCCCAGGGCAGAGGGCAGGTGGACAGTTACAATGTAAATGTAAGTTACAATGAGTGTCGTCTCAGGGTTTTACAGGACAACAGAGGAGGGCAAACCAAAACCAGTCCAGAAAAAAACGCAGGACAAAGTGACAAGGCGGAGGTATCAGGTGCAGCAGGACAGCGACGTGACAATCACTGTGGTGTCCTCAATGCCCACACAGGATATGGCATTCGGGGGGAGCTCAGTGACTAACTGGTCAGTACATAAGTAAACAAGTGACTGGAACGGACCCAGGGGACAGGGTAATGCCATTTACAAACTCCCAGGGGAAAACCAAAATTCAGAAGGTGTTACTGAAAACTATTAGTATTCAAAATCGTTCATTTCCAAAACTTCATACAAATGCAATAGTCCACATTCTGTCCCTCACAGTGAGGGCACTGGGCCTGCACCGTTGTCACTGGGGAGTAACCAGGCCCTTCCCAGGCTCTGTGACGAATCCCAGGAGAGGTGCCTTTCAGACCTAGGCGCTAGAAGAGCTGTATTTTCCCCAGGAATTAAAATGTCTTGTTTGTCCTGGCAAAATGAATTCAATTTCCTCCCTGTTTTTTTTTTTCTTTAATTTTCTTTTTCCTTGAGTTCAAGGAGCTCACAGCCAAATTGGGAGCCCAACTGTACAAACCACTATGGACGATCTGAGTATTTGCTTTCCTATTCGATCTGTATTTTTCATGATCCTGATTTGCATGTTTCTATTTTACCATATTGTATGTAGGCTCACAGTCATCTCAAAGCCTTCATGGGTCATCATGTTGGAGTCATGGGTCAGAATGCTGGAGTCCTGGTCAAGAACACAGGTTCTACTGTGAGGCAGTCCCAGAGTGGAAGCCACAGATACCACTTATCTGCCTTGTAGCCTCTTAACTGCTCTGTGTCCCTCTTACCTCATCTATAAAAGGGGAATAGTGTCTGTACTTTTTCACAAGCAGTGGTGAGGATTAAATTTTGAAAATGTACATGAGGCCCCAAACTGGGCCTGGAACATAATAAGTGCTCAATAAGTATTAGCTTAGGAGTCGCTGGAGCACTAGTATTATAGTAGCAAAAATAGTGAAACTGCAGACAAATAGATGGAGAGAAAAAATAACAATGTGACCAGAAACGGAGTAAACAGAACAAAATAGCTGTGAAAGATCAAAATTCAGAGGAAAAAGTAGAAAATAAAGCTCTTTCGCAGGGTATCATGTTTATATGTTGTCTCTATTCACCGAGTTTTCCCAACTATATCCCTTCCCTTTACAGCTGCTCTGCTAAATGGTGTGGGTATCTTGGATAGCACTGTGTTGAAATTAATATTTAAATATGACAAGAATCGAATCTATGTAACTG